TAAAAATGTGAGTATGTAACAGAAGTGAGTCTGTATTATGTATTTGGGGAGTTCAAAACCCAATTGAGTCGAATGTATGAAAGATGATATGTCTTGAGCTCTGTAATGTTTTGAACAACCAAAAAAAAAAAAAAAAAAGAAGACAAAAAATAAATAAATAAAAATTAAAAAAAAATAAAATAAAATAAAATACCTGCTGGTAAGTTGTTCTATTTTTACCTCACAGCTCATGCTATATCAGGAGGTAGTAGATTCCTAAAGAGTGCATTTCTAACATTGTATAACAGCCCCTTGTGCTCTTACAATCTCACTGTCACAAAATTTATGACAAGTCACAAAATTTTGACAAGTAAAAACCACACCAGCATCCTTTATTCTTTGGCTGGTTTGTGTCTGTCAGAGCAGTGGCAGTGTAGGCTGTTGCCACTGACAGGGCTTTTATTAATCTCCCAGGATTGTATCAGAAATATACTCTGCCCATGAGCTAATTTAATCACTTAAGTTCTCTTTGGATATACGAAAAGGACCGTGGGCCCAGAGGACACATCTTCTTGGATTTCTCAGTCACTGAGGCTTAGGTCTCCTGGGAGAGAGAAAGCTATACATCCAGACTCTTGGCTGGTGCTGAGTCCTAGATGGAAGCAGAGTCAACACATCCTGCAGAGAGCCTCAGTGAGTCTTCAGTTGCAAGTAGAGGGGATAACAAACACCTGGATTTTCTAATTGGACAGATGGTAGATGACTGCTGTTTTCATAAGGTGTCCCAGGAATCTCAGGGTTTAGAGTAGCAAGCTCCTTATTGAGAGGAAAGTCTGTGATGTCTCCTATGCCATGCCTCCCCCAAGCTACAGCACCTGACCAGCACACTGGGTTAAGCTAATCCAAGGCTGGGGTGGAGGCATGTTTCATGCTCTTAAAATTATATTGCTTATTCATGTTCAAATTGTAACAACTGATCAGACCATAATACTCTTTCAAACTAAAGAAGGAGTTTTTACAGTCATCTTCACAAGAAAAAATTATGCCAGAATGTGAAAGCTGGGTTCTTCCTGAAATGGGAATCAGCAGAAGACAAGAGCCTGAGGTTATTTCTCCAACCACAGCAAATTGCAGGTTAGATCTCCCATAACTGAAGAGAGATCCCTGAGAATCTTTCAGGTTTTAATTCATAGACTTCTGCATGGTTTATCTTATTACTTTAAGCTTTCTAATTAAATATGTCTATGGAAAACTAAGGGCAAAAGAGATTTGCCTTACTTCATCCAAAATAGAAAAGGAGACAAGACAGAAAAAGAAGGAGCTCTTTTGGGTATAGAAGTCAGTTTCTCAAGACAGCAAGAGCTGAGATCTCAGAAGGCTTAAACGGTAAATTTCACCTACTGCATTGTTTTTTTCTTTGTTTTGAATATTTATCTATGGCCAGGCATGGTTGTACACAGCTGTAATCCTAGGACCTCAGGAGGCTGAGAAAGAAGGATTGCAAGATTGAGGCCAGCCTCAGAAACTTACAGAGGACCTAGGCAACATAGTGAGACTATCAAAATAAAATTGAAAAAAAGTGGGGATATAATTCAGTGGTAAAGGATTCCTGGGTTCATTTCCTACCATACCCACCCACCAAAAAAAAAAAATAGTGTCTCTAGGTATTTGTGGTAAAATAGACTTGGAAAGAAAATGGAAAAGATGAAAGGTCTGAATATCTGAAGCCAAGGCATGGTGTAAGAGTGCTATAAATAGGAATAAAGAGGGAAAAACTCTAAGGTATTTAATGAAAGTTTACTCTTGATAAGTTAAAAAATCATGGGCTATGGACTGTGTGTGTTAGACAACATTCTGATTCTTTCTAAGAAAAGAATGACAAGCTTCTCAAATTGGTTGTTTGCACTTATTAATGATCTTTCCTACCAGAAGGAAATGAATTCAGAATAACCCCAAAGTTGCAGTGGGCTATTATTTTCATTGAGATAAGCATCAGTTATTAAGGAGAAAGGAGAATGATCTGAATGACAAAAGAAACATGGGGGTTCTGGATGATTCCTAGATCAGAACTGAATGATGGAAGGTAAAAAAGGAATCCCACACTGGGGACTATGAGGACTATGACATATTTTGTTGTTGTTGTTATTGTTGTTTTGGTTTTTGCTATTTTTCTCTTCTTATTTGTTATTTTTAGTCATACATGACAGTATAATCTATTTTAATACATTCATGCAAATATGAAATATATCTTATTCTAATTAGGGCCCCAATCTTGTGGATGCACATGATGTTGAGATTCACAGTGGTGTGTTCATACGTGTACATGGGAAAGTTTCATCAGATTCATTCTACTGTCTTTCCTATTCCTATTCCTCCTCCCTTCTCTTCATTCCCCTTTGTCTAATCCACTGAGATTCTATCCTCCTTACCCCCTTTTGCAGATTAACATCCACATATCAGAGAGAAAGAACATTTGACTTCATTTTGTGGGAATGGTTTATTTCACTATTTCACTATTCATAAAATAATCTCCATTTTGGATTATTTTATGAATAGTGGTTTAGAAGATACCTAACCTAGTTTCTATGATCAACTTATTTCTGTGTTTTGTTTTGCTATATCAAAACACATTTATTTAAAATTAGTATGCTCAGTACTTTGAGATGAAGCATAATGGTGAGTACAAAAAAGAAGGTATGCGAATGGAAGCTTCACTGAGACCAGAAACCAGAGAGGAAAAAGATTGGAAGGACCAAGAGAAGCTTTTACCTGAGTAGGATCAGATGAAGAATGCAAAAATTCACTGTCACCAAAATTTCTCTTCCTCTTTTGTTTCCTTGGCATTGTTTCTATCTTGGGGGTAGAATCCCTTGACCATGGCTCAGCACATCCTTCAACTGATACATAACTACACTCTTCATATGACAAGATCCCCTATCTCTTTCTCTCTGATTCTTCCATGAGCCTGGAAAACTTATCTTTCCTGTTGTAAAATTAAATGACCCTCAGTTCACCATTGGTACACCCTTTTTCTCCCAGGGTTCCCCAGGCTCTTTCTCTCTCTCAAAAAAAAAAAAAAAAATCCTTCTCTCTCTTCTCCTGAAGAGCCCTCTCTGCAACTGCACAGTTGTTAGTTCATACTTGTCTATACTCTGCAGGAAACAAAGGAGGAAGCGAGGAAGAAGGTAAAATGTGTAGGCGATGTGAGGACACTGGTGCTAAGTCAGAATAATGTTGTATTGGAGCTCACTTTGCATAGAGTTGCTTTGGCTGGAAAACATGCAAACTGTGATGCTGCAAAACAAGGACCTGGTCTCAACATATACTACATTAAGTTGATACAACAATACACAAATCAAGGATAACCTATAGTTCTCTTTCTACTCCACTCCAAATAAATTACTAGAGAAAAGACTATGAGAGATTCAAGGTAGGCTTTCAATTCAATTATAACGATTTTATCTGATAAATGGTGTTGAACTCCTAAAAAGATTACAAAAGAATCAACCTAATTTTTAAAAAAATACCCTTGTTCTACATCTCCAGTGCCTCTTTCTTCCATCCTAGGCTTTAGAATCAAAGGACTGAGTAAAACATGACAATGTCTTTAAATCAAACCAACATCAGAGACATCTGGTACACCATGACTGGGATCCCAGGACTGGAAGAGGCACACATATGGATTTCCATCCCCATTTGTTTCATGTACCTAGTGGCTATTCTGGGCAACACTCTCTTGTTATTCCTGATCTTCACGGAGCGCAGTCTTCATGAACCTATGTACCTCTTCCTCTCCATGTTGGCCCTGGCAGATATCTTGCTCTCCACAGTTACCACACCAAAGATGCTAGCAATCTTCTGGTTCCAAGCTGGGGGTATTTCCTTTGGTAACTGTGTGTCTCAGATGTTTTTCCTTCACTTCATCTTTGTGGCAGAGTCGGCTATATTGTTGGCCATGGCATTTGACCGTTTTGTGGCCATCTGTCATCCACTAAGATACTCGACCATTCTAACACCCTCCGTCATTGGAAAAATGGGTGCTGCAGCAGTAACTAGGAGTTTCTTCATCTGCTTCCCCTTGGTTTTTCTGGTATATCGGCTCCATTACTGTGGAAAGAACATTATTCGTCATTCATACTGTGAACATATGGGCATTGCTAGATTGGCCTGTGATAGCATCAAAGTGAACATCTACTATGGGGTGATTGTGGCCCTGTTTTCCACATGCCTAGATGTGGTACTAATCATCATCTCCTATGCTCTTATACTTTGTACTGTGTTTAGAATCCCTTCCTGGGATGCCCGACTCAAGGCTCTGGGTACTTGTGGTTCCCATGTCTGTGTCATCCTCTTGTTCTATACACCAGCTTTTTTTTCCTTCTTTGCTCACCGGTTTGGGGGACACAGCATACCCCTGCATGTGCATATCCTCCTTGCTAATCTTTATGTAGTGGTACCACCCACCCTGAACCCCATCATCTATGGAGTTAAGACCAAGCAAATCCAGGACAGAGTTATTCAGATCTTTTATTTGAACAAGACACTTTGTTAATTTAAACCCAACAGATTAGTTCTTTATTATCCCAAGAAACTCAAAAATTGATGTGCATTTGAAATTATAGTGAACATCTTTTATCATGCCAACAGTAAGAAGAAAATAATAGCAAATTTTTGAGTAAATGACACAATATTAAATTTTTCCTGTGTGTCTATCTTTTTCTCAGGACAGTATTAGAGCAAGGATATCTTATTTTCTGTATAATATTTAGCTTTGTTACAAACAGGCTTAAAGTGTAGTAATTTGAAAGCAAGTTTCAATTGTATATTGACTCAAAAAACAGAATTACAGATACAACCCACCTCCACGTGCTGAAAGATATGAAAAATAAATTTCCCAAACTGTGTAATAAACATACAGCCTATTTTACTATAAAATAGGAAGATAAAATAGTACTATAGTTCAAATAAAGTATAATTCAAATAGTACTATAGTTCAATTATTATAGCTTGGCATTATAATAATTGAACATTTGGTTTATGGTTTGGGTTTGGAAATTCAGCTATCTGACTGAATAGTATATTTACTATTCCTGGGCATATATATATAAACTACATAATCAACATATATATTATTTTATGCCCATTATAAGGTGATTGGAAGGCTTACACTACAAGCTCACCTGACATGATCTACATAAAACTCCTAAAACAAAGCCCAGCACAAAATGGAAATGAAATGATGTTGCTTACTGTTGCTATAATTGGCAATTATGGAACCAGCCTTTGTCCCACAAATATAAGACCTGCAGGACAGAAAAAGGAAGCTCTGCATTCCATTTCTTCTTTCCTATAATTACTGTTAGGCATCTTGGGACATAGTGAGTATAGTTAATCCTGGGTATTAAATCATTTAAATTTGTCCCAGTAGAGACAAGAGAAAGACATTATCAATGATTGGTTTCAAAATTAAGAGCATGTATGCCAATTAAGACCATTGAAATGAACCTATATTCATATTTATTAACTAAAGGGGCAGTACACTCTTGGTCATGATATAATGGCCCTATGGCCTAAATATTTTTCACCATGAAGGCCAGTGTATTTTTAATGGCCATGGTAAGATGCATTCATCAGGAAATAGAAGCAACAGTGGGATATCAAGAAGATTATAGGAACACAAGATAAAGTTGAATTAAAAATTTACATATTCTTTTCTAAAAATATACTTGCAAAGGAACAAATGTGTATATATATGCTCAAAGCATTGATGATGAAAATGAACAACTAAAAATTATAAATGCCCATAATGAATGTGTTAACATGCATCTTAAAATTGTGTATAATGCAATTATTACAGAATGTTACATGTATGTGCTTATATGGAAGAGAACTTAAAAATACTTTTCAGAGAATCAGATATTGAAGAATACTAATCATATGATCTCAATTATATAGATGCATGCCATTATATTCATTTCTGGAACCATATAGGCATTGCATTTTGTAACAGAGAAGTATATACAGAATTCTCTGATGTTGTGGATATTTTTTAAGGAAACATTTTAAATAAAAATGTTTAAAAATTAATTTTGCCTTCCAATTGTCTTTTCAAAATGAGACATGTAGCATTAACATTACATTACTCCATAAGTTTATAGATATTACTGTTCTTCTCTTTATATAATATTATTTTGTAAACAAGGTAAATTGTAAACTCTGTGTATATAAAATTTAATTGTTAAGCATTGAATGCCATCGGGATAGGTTTCTCCTCAGAAAATCATTCAGTCTATTCAACTCACAATTCATACTTGTTCACATTTAATCCCAGTGAAGATAAATTGTGAGTGACTAAATTGTTTACATATCACATTAAATTTCTTATTTTCCATAACTTAAATTCTCAGAAAGTTTGCTCCAAATGGATTAAGTGTACTTTACAACCAAACAAGGATAACATATTTAGCATAAGACCTATTGTCTCCAGAATACATGGTATGGAAGGAATACATTTAACCTGTAGTCTAAGACATCAAGACCAGTGTTCTCCTTACTCCTAAGTTTGTAATAACATGCTAAAAATACTTTATTGGTGTGCAATGGATAATTTCTGTAGAAATAATTTATATTTAATCTATAACCAGATGATGCAAAAAAAAAAAAGTTTACCAGGATTTTCAAAAATTTTTTATAGTCCCTGATTAGTTCAAGTTTAATGTTGTCTTTGGAATTATTTTGGTGTCTCAATGTGCTCTTAAAGGCCAATGTTGATACATATTCATAGAAAGTAAATTGTATATTGAATTAAATTGAGGAAAAAGATATTAAGGTATTTACTAATATCTAAAGGTGGTTGGTATAGGAAAATTTATTTGAGTGATATAAACAGGAAGGAGATACATCATTAGTACTATGAACACACACACACACACACATTTTCATTAAAGAAATAATTTAAAACAATTTGAATTTATTCCATCATTTTAACATATTTGAATATTACCTCATTTAAGAAAAAATTATTATTTTCTAGATTGGGTTAGATGAGAACTTTGAGATATTTTACGCTACTCTCTTGAAGCAAACAAAAGCAACCTTATTAATAGGATATATGTAAATTTAAGATATTTTTAGGGGCTGGAGTTGTGGGTCAGCGGTAGAGTGCTTGCCTACCACATGCAAGGCCCTGGGTTCGATCCTCAGCACTACATAAAAATAAATAAATAAAGATATTGTGTCCAACTAAAAAATAAATGTTAAAAAATTTAAAAGATAGTTTAAATCAAGTAAGTATAAGTTGAATCCTACAGAACAAATATAATTATTTATTTAATATTTTATATTGCATGTGAGTACTTATATTCCTTGAGTTAATATTTATGATATACTTAACAAAATAATACCAAGACTAGTTTCTCTTGAGCACAGTGTAACATAAAAATACTTATTGATTTGATTTTAATAATAAATAATTTTGTAGGATAAATTAAGTGTATAGCAACTTTTATCTTTTCATCATTATTTTATGATGTAAAATGTTACTTAGTTCACAATTTTCAGTTGCTAATTTTTGTAAAAAATTTAATGAATGTAAAAGTTTTATTGTTTACTTCTAAAAATCTTTTTTCCTGTATATTGGTCCTTTTTGGTTATATATAACATTAAGATTCATTTTGACATAATTATAAAGGCATGGGAATATAATTTACTCTAATTTGATCCCCATCATTTCCCCTTTTGCTCCCTTATTCTCTCCCCCTGTACCTCTCCCTCTATTCTACTTTAAAGAACTAAATAAATACTTATTAAAATAAATATAAATTGTCAACATCTCTAGCAATTAGGAAAATTCAAAACAAAACTATATTGAGATTTCATTCAACTCCAGACAGAATGGCAATTATCAAGAATACAATTAATAATAAGTATTGGTGAAGATATTGCAAAAGAGCTACATTCATAAACTGATGGTGGAACTGTAGACTAGTACAATCACTTTGGAAAGCAGTATATGGAGATTTCTCTAAAACTTAGGAATAGAACCACCATATAATCCAGCTATCCCATTCTTGGCACATATCTGAAAGATCTAAAATCAGCACACTATAGGGATATGTCATATCAATGTTGATAGTAGCACAATTCCCAAGAGCCAAGCCATATAACCAAATTATGTGTCCTTCAACAGATGAATGGATACAGAAAATGTGGTATAAAACATCTTTTTTTAATACAAGTTTCCATAGAAAACATCCCTACCATCATTTGGGATAAAGGAAGATCTAATTATACTGTCACATTACATTTGTATGCCCCATATGTGTTTTTATAAAATGATAGATGATGTGGTATTGCCCCAGTATATCATTCTATTCTTAAGACTAAGGTGACTCCTTTATGAGCTCTTATGTTTTCTTTACTTTTTGCAGATCCTGAAATAGTAAATGCCCCTTCAGTTCCCTTCTGTTTGATCTCTTAACTGAATTAATTATAGTTTTTAGGTAAAGATACATGTAAGAAAAAAAAAAAGGAGACAACAGAGACAAGATGCAGAGGTAGGAAAGAAAGATGGCAAATGGCAGAGAGGCCAAGTTGCCAAGCTGTATTTATATCAATAGGTTACTTTAGATCATTGGCAAAATTAGTACATATTGTTCATTGTATTACTAGGAAGGTTACAGACCTAGCAACATTATTCAGCATATTTCTCAGTTATATACTAAGTTGCAATGTGCAATGTTAGGAGCTTTGTGTTCTTCTAAAGAAAGTCCATTGTATAAAGTTACTATTATGTGAACAGGTTTAGATTCAGTGAACATTATGGTTTTCTAACCAGAGAGTCCCTATATTCCCAGGAGCCGTGTGCTTGAGATCAAAGTCGAGACTTATCAGACTCCAACACAGAGTTTTCTTGTGAAGGACATTGCTACAGCATCTAGGCATCCTGTGTCTTTGCACAGAAACTTTCCCAGAACCCAGGCAACATCACCATTTTGATCACTATCATTTTCACCTATAAATAAGAAAATTAAATTATTTCTGATTATTTTCTTTCTTGTGTAGTTTTATTTTATTCTACTCTTTATTTACAAGATTTATAAAATACAACATATAGTGACAAAATTCTATGCTTACATATTTTCTTACAATTTTTATGAATGATGGTATGTAGATGGATTTAAGAAAAGCAACTGTGAAGGGCTAGGAATGTAGATCATTGGTAGAGCATTGCCTGGCACATGGGAGGCCCTTGGTTCAATTTGTAGTAAAAAAGGAAAAGCTCTGTTCTCAAGAAAACATTATTCAAGGTGCTACTAAATATAGAAACACACATTCAGGCATAAATGCACATGCATCTGTGCATGGAGGACAGTGAAAGAAAATATTTTGCAGCTGTGGTATGGGGGCCAACTGCTAGGGAAGCTGATTACTGGCAGAATAAAGTCTGGCCCCAAAAAATAACTTGCCAGGCAGACACATGCATAATGACTGAGCCTAAGTGACTAGAGGAAAATCAGGCATTGAGAGAGATTTACACAGAGGAGTACTGGT